AAGGAGAGCTGGAACCCAAAGCCGATGCCATCAGAGGAACCGCTGCCATCATCCGCCGTATCTCGACCCCCCGTCAGAAAATGGAACAAGAGGAAATCAGACGCTTCCACATGGACCAGAGACTTGATGAGCTCGAGCCTGTTGGTGAAAACGAAATCATCGAGTGGGACGGCCTGCGCAGACGACGGACTACTTTGGTCAACGGTGTACCTGCTACCAGTCCCCGTCGTAGGGTCCAGCACCCTCCACTGGGCATGTCTCGTTTCCCAGACTACTCTGAACCCGAAGTCAGGACTCCTCGAGAAGGTCTCGACGGCTCTCTCATTGGCAGCATTCGCAAGCGTGCTTCGACTGCCTTACACCCCTACTGGCGGCCTAGTGGAACCATATCTCCCCAGCCGATGGAAAAGGACGGCCGTCTCGACTCTCCCAAGTCGATGCCTGAGCGGCCCTCTGAATCTGACCCTTTCACTCGTCATGAGCTGCTCCAGGCGTTCCAGTACAACAAGGCCATCCGCCGTCCACGCAGTGAGACTATTGACTCCGTGATCAACGAAAAGTCAAGAAGGGAAGAGAAAGCGCCCCTCTTCGACGGCAGCAATGACAGCTCCAACGCCAACGGTAACGGCGATTCCAAGGAAAAAGCAGAGTCTACCAGTCCTCCTCCAACGCCCCCTGCACATAGAGCCCATCGACAGTTCTCCTTCAACGTCTTCCGACGCAACTCTTCGTCCGCTCCGCCGGCAGAGCGCCTGACAACCCCTACAAAGACACCACACTTACATCTTCCTCACTTTATATCCCACCACGCCCACTCCAGCAGTAGCTCCAAGCCTACCACTACAGAGGAGGAAGCCCTCGGCCTCTCCTCCGGGGATAAGGGCAAGACCCGGTCCCCTTCACCACAGGCCAAAGCTCCTTCTCGTCCAGAAAAGATCACCCGACACTCCCACGGAAACTCCTCAGAGTCCCTCCGCCATGTCCTTTCCGCCTCGTCTTCTTCGGCTGGTGAATCTTCCAGTACCCCTTCGCCATCTCAATCCCAGTCTCAGTCCGCCCAGCACACCGAAGAACTCACCCGTCCATTAACTGGAACATCCGAGCAGGACCATCGAGACATCGGTCCGTCAGATTCAACATGTTCATTCCCCAAGTTCGATCCTTCAACATTCCCGCATTCAGCAATGACTTCATCCCCCGAGGAAGCTAGGAGAGGCCGTAAGGAACGAAGAGGGAATGTCAGACAAAGCTATGACAGTTCCCGTGGCGATTCCAAAGGTGCCAAAAAGGACGACAAAAATCCTAGCAAGAAATGAAAAATACTATCACCACCACATTGACGAAGAATAAATTGCATTCCTTTCGATTCTGGTTGCATCGATAGACCAACCCGCGTCTTCTTTACCGGCGTTAACTTGTTTTAATATACTGTTGCTCGCTCGCAACACTTTCATGACTGGCTGTTCCTTCGACAACGGCCAACTTGCTGCACAGTTTGCCCCATTCGTTTATCACATATTTACCTTGCACAATATACGGAGTATATAGGGAAAGCCATCAATGCACGGCTCGGCGCGGCCTTTGGTCTTTGTTATTTGTGAATTTATTACTTCTTTTTTTTTCTTGCCGTTGCTGCTGCTGTTGTCATCTTACTTGTTTATATTTTGCCTGCCTTGCTTGCTATGAAACATCGGCAGTTTGGGCCTTTTTAATGTATGCATTTGCTTTACTTCTGCTTTGCTTTGCTTTGCTTGCCCCTCTCTCTCTCTGCCTTATCTTTCCCTGGAAACATACAGTCCAGTGGAGAAAAGAGAAGAGAAGGAAAACACCGTTAATCGTTTTTGTTATTCATGTTTGCGTGCTACCATTGTTGATGGGATGACTTGAGTTTCGTCTACCTTGATTGATATTTGCAACTTCGACCATTTTTGGGTTGCGTTTATTTGTCTTGCTTGTCTGAGTGGGTGGCTGACTGGCTGAATAACTAATGATAATGACGATGATAATGTCTCTCGGGCGGCGATGTGTTTGGGCCACGCAATGATCGAACGGATTGGTCAATTGCTAAAACCAAAGAAAGAACGATGCATACATAGTACATAGATAAATGTCGAGTCTATTTGATCATGAAATCTAGTACACTTCTCTGCTTTTTCGATGCAAGATGTACGTTAGCGAATTTCGCTTCGGGCAACCTGCAGCCGGCCTTGATACTCTCGAGTACCCTGATAATCAAATAAACGTCAGCAGGCAAATACTTAATCCACGAAACAATGCAATAAGCCAAGTAAAGGAAATACTCGCCACTCAACCCCAACGAATTTAACCCCCATGCCGCTAACACGGCTTATCTCTTGCTGCATTTTCCCGGCTGCAAGTCCTCCACCGGCCCCGGGCTGCGAATTCCCGGCATCCTTACCTGCACCGCCACTCTCGACCTCACCCGCCCCATTTGGATAACCGAGGATGACGTGCGTCACACTCCGCCTGGCAAGGCCAATTGATATCTTCGCTCCATGATCTACCAGCATATTTTTCAACTTATGGTCTGATATCAGTGGCATGGTGGAACCATTGATATATATCGTCAAGTTAGCGAATATACGCTTATCCTTGTTTGCATGGGTATCATCATTAATTTTGTAACTCTCATAATAATTCATACCTGAATCATCCATATAGTTTAGTTAGTTAGTTCCCACCTTGCTGTTTAATGAAGGCACGGGGAGAGAGTGCATTGTGGCTGTTTCAAAAAACTTACTCGTACGATCATACCGTTCATCGAAGCATACCGCCCCCCTGCTTTGCTCCAAGCTCATTATCGGCAGATCATCACCAGCCACTTGTCCATGCTCATGGCTATGTTCATGCTGCTGTCCCTGCATCGACTTCAAGCGCTTGGTCACTTCGGACTTTCCATTGACTTCATCCCCAGCCCTCCTTTTGCCCGTGCTCATGAAACGACGTATATCCCCGTTCCCAGCATTCAGTTGACCGAGTTTCTTCCGCCCTTGCTTGTCGAGCCATGCCCACTCACCATGGATGGCTTTGGGGTTACCGCCATATTGAGCAGATAGTTTCTGGCTGCGTACCTGGGTCCAGCCGGAGGAATTGGATTGCTTCACTTCTGCGCGTTGGTGGCCTGTTGAGACGGAGTTCCAGGCGTCGAACGTTTCGAGTGCGGCGTTGGATGGCGTGGTGAGTATCTGGCGTAGGGAGGGGGTTATTTTGGTATCCTTGTTGGGCATACTGCATGCCAGTTGTTGATGTAATGAGATTTTTTGCCAGGACTTCTCCTCTTAACCCCCCTGGCCTCTTCTGGTCCTTTTTGATATCGAGTCGAAGACTGCGAGTTGTTTATTGTCCGAAAAAAGCTTAGCGCGACGGGAAGCAAGGATCACTTGCAGCTCACGTGATATGAGCCTCCTTCGGAGTTTCTTACATAAGCCGAAGTGTTATTCAACGACGACGATGAAATGATGAACGATGATATCTGGATAGAGATGAAAGGATAAGAGAGTACGAAATTAAGATTTAAAAAATAAGATAATCTGGCTACTGCTACCCTTGTTGGATCGATCCCTAGGGTCATACTCGTAGTTCCAAAATGTACCGACTAGAGAAGGACAGGAGCAAAAGTAGGAAATTCGTGTCATATCAGGGTCATTAGAAACGAAACGAAAATCAACAGAAGGAGAAAGTTTTTTGGGGGGAGATTTCAAAGATGTGGCAAAGACACAAACGATCAGACAGAGATAAAAGCAAGTAGCGGGAAATAAGCACAGAGGAAAGCAACAAAGGAATCGAATAAAAAAAAAAAGTCAATCAAATCAGCGAATTGTATAAAAGGGAACTGTAGAGAAGTGAATGGAAAGAAAAACAAAAAGCCATTGCTGTCAGCTAGCTTGGGGGAGTCACGTCAAACACATCAAACCACATGTAAATCATTCAACTTTAGGTACCAGCAACGTAAAACATGACGCAGATAATTACTCCGAACCCACGGAAGGAAGGGAAGTGGGGAGCAGGCGGATAGGCAAGTAGATTTCGATGTGTAATTGGGAGGGATATCAGGTTCAAGGGTCTTATAAAAACACATGTAACACGTTTGCTAGAGCAGGAGTGTAAAAGGCCCCCTGCTTGGGCCGGGGAGTGGGCGTGGTTCGAGTGAAGCAGGTAAGTAGGTAGGAGGGATCGGGTATTCCGCTCCTAAGACGAAAACAGTTGCAATGGCCGGTTGTAGAAGTAGAAGAAGATAAATCAAAAATCAAAAGAATCACAAAAACTCCTGATGCAAGAAGAGAAGAAGCAAAAATAACAGCAAATGATATGAAAAGAGATATTCGACTGGGAAAGCAAAAAATGCCTCCCATTCTTTGAAACAGGATTGTTCGAAGAGGATATGCACATTTCCTTGGGGGTACCGAGAGTAAGGAAGAGCAGGCGCTTTTGCCACAAAAAAAGGATGGACTGGTCGACGGGCTGAAAAGTTTGGAACGAACTCGATGTATTCGCTGACTGACGATGACGATGGCGCTGACGAGAAAAACAACATTTGCTTAAAAGGGAAAAAAGCATGCAGCGGACATTTGCATGGATGGACAGGGCGGTAAACACTCGCTTTCGTTAATCGGTCGTTAAGGTAAAGGAATATAAGTTTTCAAACGCAGCATTTGGTTCTTTTTCTTTATTTTTTTGGCCTCGCAGGGCGGGCTCATTTATCAGTTTTTTGGGGGATATTTTGCTCGTTATTCGTTTAAGGCGCGGAGGAGTCGTGTCGTGTCGTGTCGTTGGCATGTCATGTCAATTGGTTAGTTCTTTTTAAGGACAGTGGGTGAAGTTGGGCTAATTGTTGATACGGGTGTTGTCGTTGTCGTTGTTTTTGTTAGTTCACATTTATATATGGGCTTTTTATATCCATTGTCGAGTCAAGGACACATCAATTCGTTAACTTTTCATCTCGGCCAGAGGGCATTTGTTGGCAAAGGGAGATTTGATTGTCAGATCCGTCTTGGGAAGTTGCCAGATTGTACACTCTGTAAGCTGATGGAAGCCGGTACAATCGGACCAGAGGCAGAGTCAATGAGCGTTTTCCGACGCTTGTGCTCGTACACAGAACCTTCACCGCGGCTGTCGGAGCGAGGAATCTCTTCTACATCATCTTCGTCACGGGAACGTTTGCTTGACCCGTTCATGGATGAAGAGTAGCTTGGTGTGCTAGTCGAGGCGGAGTAGGCATCTGGGTAAGTAGCAGTGCCGGAATTGTTGGCGGGTGAGTTGCGGGTGTCACTCATTACGCTGTAGACGCTGCTGGGGGCGCCTGATCGAGGGGTATATGTTGATGGCCAGGGTCCCGAGGAACGCTTGTCGGCTCCGTTCTGGTGAGGTGGAGGAGCGGCCATCTCAGAAGGGAGAGGCGTATGTTCACTGGGCATGGAGCCAACGGCCTGGGTGGACGGGTAGGCAGGGTATGAAGCACGATTGGAGTTGTAATTACCATTTGAATCGTTGATGTACTCGCTGTCAGTGCCTTGGTGCTGCTCCGTGGTCTCTGGTTCAGTGGTGTTAGCCCCGTTCGATCCGTTTACATGGCCGTTTCCCTGGCTGGAGATGCTCTGTTGAGATACAGGTTGCTGAGACGCGTAGTGTGACTGCGGAGCTGGGGCTGAGGAATAGTATGCTTTGGAATCACTGTAGGCAGACTGGCCCTGGTAAGCTTGCATCGCAGACATGTTTGCACCTGGTGGAGTCGTGGCGGGGGTGGTTGGCATTGACCTAGTGCCATTCATTCCAGACTCTAGTGGGAGTGGCTGAGAGCTCTGAACACCGTTGGACATATTCTGACCGTTCCACTCGTACGATCCGGGTTGATTGGGCATGCCTACGAGACTAGAGGCGCTGGTGGGAGGTGTGGGAAAAGTGTGAGCGCGGTCTAGCGGAGGACGGCCAGGCATGGGATGCGGCATTGTAGCGAGTGAAGATGGCTGAGACATATGCGTAGTTGTTGGATTCTGCATCGAATGGTGATGATGAAGTGGTGGAGGGTGTCCTCCGGGTCCAGGGCGCCCCAATGGCTGGCTGCTCTCGATCCGTCGTCGATCCGAAGCTGTAACGATAGCATTGGCGCGGTTTTCGTTCACTGGATGGTAGAGTAGACTTCCAATGGCGTGAACGAAGAGCGGATAGAGCTGATCGGTAATCTTCTCCTTATTGGCAAAGTCAAGAGCACGCTCAAACGGTATCCTACGGGATGTTAATTCCGGGTACTTCTGAGTAAGAAACAGCAACGATTCAACGTACCAGACACCCTTCAGATGCATGGGGCCGATCTTCACAACATGTCGAATCTTTTCACTCTTGAGAATGCCGTCTCTCCTGCCTCTGGTCATTCCAGCAACGTTTAACAGTTTTGTACCGTTAATCATATGGTTGTCTATTAAAAAGTTAGATTAGCCTGTTTCGATTGGAGAGCTGAAGACTGACCCTCTCTTCGAGCAACACAGACGCCCTTGGCCTCAACCTGGAAGCAGAGGCTGCCTTCATCTTCCCACAGCGTGGCGGTGACTCGGGGCTTCACTCCTGGCGGCGCTATTTGTCCCGTAGTGTCGTATGGAGTCTGAGACGAGTAAGGTTGGACCTGACTCGCGGAGTTTGGTACGTATCCATGAGAGTTTGGGGCCGTCGAGTTTAATGCTGGAACCATTAACCGATGTTCAAATGTTTACACCACCCAAAAAAATAAAATAGGGTGTTTATATAAGATGGGAGAAACTTTTGACTTACGAGGGAGAGGTAGGATCTGAGTTGGTCCCTGACCGTTCAAGGGGTTGGGTACTGGCTGGTTGCTGGGGGGCGAGGTGATGCCATTCGAGTAGCCGTACTGTGGCGGGTAGCTATGTGAAGGGGCATATGCGGTAGGCCCCGGCTGCAGCAACGATGGCTGCTGGTACTGCGGATAGTGCGAGATGCTGTTCTCTGTCGGCGTTCCCTGCGAGGTGTACGGCTGCGAGGAGGCCAAATGCGACGACTGCACATCCATATACGGCTGTGTCTGGTTCATGCTTCCAGCAGCGACTCCGACTCCGACACCAACGCCTGCTCCGACACCTACACCGACGCTGACGCCCACGCCGTCTGCAGCAGAGATGGAGGGAGGGCTCTTGGCCTCGCAGCTGGCCTGGGAGTAGCTCGAGAGGCTAACGGCCGAGTCCTGCTGGGAGGAGACAGCGGTCGACGGGGACGAAGACGGGGATGAGGCGGACGAGACGGCCGGGGCAAAGGAGAGCGCTGGCAGCTTGTCGCCTGAGAAGAGCGGCCTCTCGCTGGCGTGGTGGTTATACCAGGGAAGATCCACGGCGCTCCGGGTGTGAACCTGGGAAATCGACGGCAGCTCCAGCTTTTCAGACTGAAGGGGACGTTCGGGTAAAGACGAGTAGTAATGGCAGTCAGCCAGGGGAATCGACTGTCAATTGGCCTTTTGTTCCCTCGCACTCTCTTCACTTCAACCTTCTCTTCTTCGTGCGGCTGCGGGTGGTGTGTGTGTTTGAGGTTGAGGTTGATATCAAAGAAGCTATGCTGCAGCTGTATGGGCAAACCCGAAAGAACGCAAAGCAAACAGATCTAAGCAAAATGGACAGGCAGACAGTAAATAGTCGTTAACGTGAACTCGTAACGTCGTAGAAGTCACTCTTCTTCGTCTTCTCCGGGGCGCTCCCTTTTGTTGTATATATCTCCTTCCTTTCAATGGTGGTTGGTGGTTTGTGGATGCGTGAGATGGGATATCTCAACGCCCAACGGGATCTATACACGAGTCAGCGAGGCCACCGGCAGACGATGTATATGCATAGGAAGATGGAGCAGACGAAGACGAGGACAGAGAGGGAGAAGAGAAGGCAAACCGACTCTTAGAGCAGAAGCAAGCAACGCAAGCAAGACTGCACAGACAGGGTCATGGACTCGTAAATAGAACAGCCGCAGCAGCACAACCCATGCAAGGACTTGATTGAAGCAAGCAACAAAAAGACGAGAAGAAGGAAAACAGAATCAAAGCAGAGGGAGGAGAGGAATAAAGAGGAAGAGGAGATAGCAGGAGAAAAGAAGAAGAAGAAGAAGAAGAGGGAGTGGAAGAAGCAAGCAAGCAAGCAAGGTGAAGTTCAAGTAAGTCTCAACTGGTGGAGAATCGCATTACTTGCTTTGCTTTTAGGCGCTTCTTTTGCTTCTTTTTTCTCTTTCTCTGTATCTCGTTTGGTCGTCTCCCTCTTACTCTCTTGTCTATCAGTCTATCTCTCGTTGCTGGTGTTTGATGCTGGTGTTGATGCTGCTGCCAGTGTCTATCAGTTGCTGGTCAGGGGGTTGAAGGAGGTGATTCTGCTGCTGCCGCTGCCTCTCTGCGATCTATTATTATTATTATGATTCTTCCTCGTCTCTTTTTTAGTTCCCTTGCCTGTCTCTTCTTCTTCTGCTGCTGCTCTTCTGCTTCTTCCTCTCTGGCGCCTTTTTTTTCCTTTTCTTTGCTTTTTCGTCTCTTTTTTTTGCTTCTTCCACGGCGTATCATTCATTCGATACCCTTGGGATCCGCCCGTCTGTCCGTACGTAACGAAGACAACTAGCTTACCTTTACTTCTTTTTTTATTTTTGCAAGTTTGCAGAGGCGGGCCTCTCCTTCGTCTGCCTCTTCCGCCGCCTCTTCTTCGTCCTCGCGCTGCTGGGGGTGGCTGGGGGGTCGTGCAAGCAGATTGGCTGGTCTGGTCTGGTTGGCCGGGGGGGGAGGGTTAGGGGGGATGTTGCTTTTTGGTAGAGACGAGACGACGATTATGATGATTGATGATGATGATGATGATGATGATGATGATGATGATGATGATGATGATGATGATGATGAGATGATGATGAAGCAGGATTATAAAGACGGGAGAGATAAGTGCATGTTATATTGCTATTCTTATATACAGCCGGTCGTTGACAGCCAGCCAGGTGTAGAGTACAGCCGGTTTCCAGTCATGCACATTCATCAGTGCTCGCTGAGTTTCAGCAACGATCAATCAAGATGGCTTCCGCGGCGCAGCAGGAGGGCCCTTTTTTGCTTCTTCTTCTTCTTCTGCTTCGTCTATCAAAAGCAGAAGACGAGCAAGCAGACGTCCAGAGGGAACTGTACTATGGATGTATGTACCGTGGATCGCGAACCCGCCAAAACACGCAGCGTGCCAGACCAGACTTGACTTCGTACCGGGTCCTGTGCTTCACTCTACACCACCACCACCACTACTACGCCCTTGGTTTTTGCAAAAGCGACGGCGGCCCTTGACTGGCCCTCGCTGGCTGAGCTTCTCGCCCCCCAGCCATTCCTTTTCCTTGCGGTCTGCAAAAATCGCATCGTCCTCAAATCTCCAAGAAGTGCGTGGAGCGTGGAGCAAGCAGGCCCGAGGGTGGATCAAGGACAACTCACAACTCACACTTCACGGTCTGGTGATACTATTTGCTGGCAAACATCTCATGGGGTTGGTTGCTTTTTCCTTCTGCTGCTTTCTGTGTCTGCTTCTTCGTCTTCTTCCTCGCCGTGGTGGTGATGCTCTCGCAGAGGGATGGAGACCCCCCCCCCTCTCCCCCCTGCAAACGCCCTTCTCCTGCTCCCAATCCTTGTCTCTCCGATACGCAGCACCGTTCTTCTGGAAGCAAGCATCATCATCACTCGACTCGTTCGCCCTCCGTGCTTTGCTTCTGCTGCTTCCGCTGCTGCTTCTCCTGCTGCTGCTGCTATTCTTACTTCTCTAGCCTCGGGATCAGCCGCCCCGTCAACCTGGCTTCTCTATCCGTTGTTCGCTTTGGGGCCCTTTTATTCTTTCTTTTTCTTCTTTCTTCCCCCCCTTTCCCTTCGTCTCTGCCTCTTGTCTGCCCTCTGCTTCGATCTACACATACGTGCACTCCTCTTCTTTGTCTGTGAGCCTAACAAACTAACTAGTGGTGCGGTTCGTCCGGGCAAAGGTGGGAAGCGTTGAAAATTGACAGCAGAAGGAAAAAAAAAAAAAAAAAAAAAGGTCATCTCAAGGACCCCCCTGGCCCCCACGAATGGGAGAAAGGCAGAAGGGATCACCGGTTCCAGCCATGCGCAGTTCCCGATACCGTACGCCAGTGCGTTCGTCTTCCCTCTGCACTGGAGAGGGGGGGTGGAATGGATAGCCAACGCCATCGCCATCGCCCTGGGCCCGGAAGTATGTATGTACGGTGTATGTGCGTCTGTGATGTATGTATGTACGTCTGTCTCTTCCGTTCCTGTGCCTTACCCTTAAATTCTTTTGAGTTCGAGGTTCTACAACGACCTCAATTGCTCACATATCCTGCTGCTTTTTCTCCCCCTGGGGCCTCATTCTTCGTCGTTCCGCTGGTTCAGGGGGAGGCGTGAGCAAACCATGCCCCGAACAAGGGAGAAAAGGAAGCTCTCAACAGACACACACAACAACAACAACAACACACGGCTCATCGCATCTCAACTTAATCTAATCGAATAAAGAAGGGCAAGCGAAATCAAAAATGGCTTGGCAGTTATTAAACCGCCTTTTTTTCGTTTCTTATCGCCAACATCCATTCCAACTTTCTTCTACCTTATCATACTGGAGGTAGCTTCCGAAGCGCGCTACAGAACCTTCTTTGCACTCTTGTTTTGGTGTCTCTGCAGCGAAAACGTTTCGCCATAAGCCCTTTGCACCCATATTTATCATGGCAACGGCCCTAGCTAACCAAGGTCACGTTCAATTGCAGTCTGTTTGCCAGAATTGCGGTACTTCCAAGACTCCATTATGGCGCCGAGACGAGATGGGCTCGGTGCTTTGTAACGCCTGCGGCCTATTTCTAAAGCTTCACGGCCGGCCACGGCCTATGAACTTGAAGACAGATGTGATAAAGAGTCGCAATCGGGTGAAAACTTCGGGCCAAGGCCCAAAACGAAAGGTACTTAAATACTTTTTCTTTTCTCGCGGTAATCGGACTAAGTGTCTAACCCACCTCCCAATTGCAGGCCAATACCGATGCAAACAACCAAGCTACTCCTAGATCAGACGGCACTACACCATATGGCTACGCCCGTGCTTCCAGGAAGCTCTCTCCTGGCCGTTCCGATGGTTCAAATTCTCCAGTCTCCCGAACGGACACGCCTAATTTCCATGGCTCAACTAGTATCCCTTCTCACAATATGTTTGACAACGTTGGCCTCTCAGACCCAAACTTCAACCCATCGGGGAACTTTGCGTCATTACAGCTGCAACACCCGTCTCCAGGTTCAACTTCTTCTAACGAACGCCATCTTGAGGGTCCCCAGACGTATGAAAACTTAGTTGCTGCAAACACATCCTTAAAGACCAGAGTCAATGAGTTGGAATTGATAAACGATCTTTTTCAAGACTCGGAATCTCGTCTACGGCAGTCACTCAAAGAGGCACAGAAGCGAGAAGAGGAACTAAAACGCAGGATAAGCGAACTTGAAGGTCGCTTATCCGGGCAGGAACAGGCTCAATCTAAAGATGAGCCGGTAGAACCTCAAACTAAACGATGTCGACTTTCCGACTCTCCAGAGAAGGTCGAAGTCGACAACAAGTCTTCAGCGGACGTCTAGGACGTCAGTTCTCTCTTGTTTTTGATTCTTAGTTGGCACGCAATGCGGAACTGCTGTCTGCCGGCTCCTCTTTTTCATATCTCCCCCCTTTTTTTCTATCTTCTCACACTTTTCCCCTCAATTTGAAAGTTGATGTCCGTTCGATGTCAATATCCCTCTCGCTATTCTTATATCACAACACCCTTGATTCATTCTTCTATAAAATTCCCGGAATTCTGTACTCTATATGCCCCTCGTCATCTTTACCACGGACGAGTTTTATGCTGCGGCATTCAACTCTTCTCTTTATATCACTAATCACCCTTCCACACAAGTTGTGGATGGACTCTTTGTACGCGATACTTGTCATTGCTTGTTGGCCCTTTTCTTTACGGCACAGCAGATTATCTCACGCCTTAACTGCTCTTCATATATCTCGATCGCTTCTTTTTGGTTAACTGCTCTACTACCCTTCGCTTCTCACCTGTCTTTACTACAAATATTTCCGTGCTTTTGCTCCCTGCTTTTTAACACTTCGCTCCTCTATAGCCGGAGTTATTCTAAGCCTCTCTAACTTTCTGGAGAGGCCTTAATCATTCTTATTCTTCGTCCCCCCGCTTCCTTTTTCCCCGTTTATTGGTGAGGTTTCTTCCGTTCGTTTCGTGTAATGGGTGGTTGATGGACGATGTTATTCTTACCTTTAGTTGTTGTAATATAGACAAGAAACCGAGCCTAAAAAGCGCAGAAAAAGGAGGCAATTCAATTCACCGTGGAATAGGGATAGATTTGATAGCAAATTTTAATACCTTGGATTATCGCTTTTTGGACGTCCTTTAAAACTAGGGCATATGCCAGAGAAGAGGAGATAGCAATCTAATTTCATCCCAACCCGAGAATAAAAAATTATACCAAAATCTTGTCTCCCCGGAATAACATATGAAATGGGCCTGTAATTGCACTGCAGGCAGACAAACATGTATAGCGAAATAATGAAAGATTAAAATATTAAAAAAAAAAAAAAAAAAAAAAAGAGAGGCATGGGAAACGTGTGGGTTAGATCCTCGGGGACAAGAAGCCACCTGAGCTAGTGATGCGACCTGGACGTGAATAATGTCGCTAATTCCGAGACTCTAAGAAAGGTTAGGATGCAGCTCGCTGTCAATTCATGCAGCTGGTTGGGGTATTTCATCTTCCCCAGTAAGTAATCTCTGATGTCGCCTATATCTTTCAAGGAAAACTCCTACTAATGTCAGAAATCCAGAGCAAATAGATGCGTAGAATGCCACCAGGTACGCCGTAGAATAGCACTCCAGTCCCATACTGCACTGGCGTGTGCCATCAGGCAACACTTTCGAGTGGCTGTCATATATGACACCATAGATATAATTGAATATATGGCCGAAAATCGCAGCGGCGAGAGTCATAACGCCCCAGTTCTGGGAAAACCCAGATATGCCAAATGCATGGGAGACAATAGCGGGATAAACTCCGAATAGTACACCATATGCTAGGCCTGTCATGGATGAGACGAAGAGAAGGTGATGAGGGTTTGGAGATTTTGG